CCAACAAGCTAATATTTATTTCATCAGTGAAGGGGAGACCAGCTTCAGATGCTGGGCAGATTGCAAACGACCGCAAGCGGGGAAGAGAATTTGATTGCCTAAGCCTGACTTGTACCACAATGACCCCTGTGGGTAAGGAACTGATGATGACGATGAGAGGTACGATGGGCTGAGTGAATCCTGAATGGGACTCGAACTCACAATCTTTCAATTGAGGGTCTACGTGTACATAATAATAGTGATTATAATAATTCCCAGCCCTTTGTCAATCCATTGCTGGGTAAAGGTCACGGGGTTGTTAGACAATACTTCACTACCCTGGTCAGTGAAGTGGTGGTTCAGATATCATTTGCCATATCTTAGCCCTGGCCTGGAACCATACTGAGTTTGCGAGGGTCTTACAGCCAAGTGAGCTAGCGACTGTGCCACTGCTTCCTGCTATGAATATGTATGCTATTTCATATGTAAAGTAACTTATTTTGTAGCTCAAGGAAAGTATACGTTTGGAGTGAAATTTGAACAACTGTGCTGCTTTAGAAACATAAATGTACGTTATTTAAATACCTGTATTCATGATTTCTCTAAAGCACTTGCAGCATTGAAAAGCACTTACGACTGATGGCAGGTGTGCAGTGAACTACCCAGATGTCATTCATTCGTTCATCGTCATAAAGGTAAGTCTTGCTTTCCTCCATTACTTAAATAATTACAAAGCGAGAAAAAATACAATAAGTGCAATGAAGAAGATGGAGCGACATCTGAACCTATCGAGTCAACATGTCTCCAACTCCACCGAGACTAGCTGTGTGAAATGTGAGTTTTATTCTTCACTCCATAAATGTTGAAATTTGAATGCACAATTGCCGTTAATCCTAAGCCGTTACATAAGGTGTTGGGCATACTTGAGATGCTCTCATTTCCAGGGCACTCGAGTCGGTGGGGCATGCAGTGGCAAGCGAAGAGAACAGTGCTTTGTCGGCACATTCAGCCGTCTTCCAAAGCACGAGCTTTGTTGTGGGCCTGCTGTGCATCTACATTCGGCAACGTCTCGTGAACCGACTGCGGCATATTTAACAGAACAATCACCACGCTCGTTAATTCATGGTTAAAGCGACGTGCGACTTTGCTTAATAGCCCCACGGGCAATTGGGGTCATTTCATTACGTATCATTTGCTTTGCCGAACACCGTGAGGAAATCTTAGCGAGAGGGACATTTATAAGAAAAGCAAAGCAAAAGATGCTGCTGTTAAAATTCGACCATCGTCCAAGCCATATCCATGGATATTTTCCCCCTGTATATCTACGTGCATACGTATGTACGAGTGCAACGGTAGTGACATTGGTTAGCGTGCTGCTCTATGAACCCAACGACCTTGAATTCAATGCCTGGCCACAGCTAACATCAGTGGGCAGTGATATTACAACTAGTCCTGCCCTCCCCCATTCACCAATGCACAGCGACCGGCGTGGTGAAGTATGGTGAAAACCCACCCATGCCACGACCCGACACGGTATGGGGAGACCTGCAACCATTAGCGGATTGAGAAAGGCAGAAAACTATTTGTATGTATGGTGTCTGGATCCAGGCAGTTAGCTGCAAATGCTTAATATGCACTGGACGGAATCACATTTGAGCATTACTAATGCAGAGGCGAGCAGCATCAGTAAGTCGTGCGGAGGGAACAAAAATAAAACCACTGCAAGACGGTGGCGTGATGCGCAGTGTTCGGCACTTCAAGTGCCACTTGTGCATGCTCCTCACGCCGACGCAGTATCCAGGCGACCGGACCGTGCTGCGTGATGCATCCACACGTGCACGCGCGCTATGATTTGCCCCACCTCGATTTAAATGGTGGATCGGGGGGGGGGGTGAGAGAAAACATCGCGAGATGCCGCTGATTGTGAATCAGCTGCGATGCGGCCGACGCTTGGTGTCACGAACGACACAACTCGTGTTGGATGAGTGCGTCCCTGTGATGGATCGTGATAATGATGATGAAGACGATGACGACGACGAGCAGGGCTTAATCTCCACTGGAGCTATCCGGGAGCTGAGCTCTGGAAAACAATTCCCTTTTTTTCATGGGTGGAAAGAGGTGGAGGGAGGGGGTCAGTAGGGTTGGGCGACCCCGAAAATATTCAATGAGAAATTCCATCGTGATGGTGATGAATAATGATGAAGATGATGACTGCGAATACTCTTTGAGCTTCACAACAGTGTGCAGCATGCAGATAAAGTAGCGTGGTGCTGCAGGAACAAAAATCCGCTGCCTTCCATGCCTCTTGTACAAGCACGCCCCGACAGCCACCATTCAACCCACGCCTTTCACCAAATACAGTGATTGCATTGAGAGCACCGTGGCCGGGTGATGGTGCTGCACCTTCAATGTTCCTCCCCCTCGTGAGCGCGCCCCGCGCTTGAGTCACAGCCAGGAGAAATCCACGGAGGGGCAGCGAGCCGCCTTAGCTAATAAAGAGTATTTAGCACACGAGCATTTAGCTAAGTTTGGGTTTCCCAGCAGTTGTCCTACATATTTTGAGTCGCAATAAACCTTACCAATTGGTTGTGTTGGGCGGTGGTGGGTTAAACACACATTTATATTGATGCGATAGAACCCCAAAAACCCCCTTTATTGTGAATAATATTGCACGTGTAACTGTTTGCCGTTTCTCAACGGATATTATGCGAACAATTAACAGGGCCCACTTGGTGGTCTCACATGCAGCGGTGTTTGTCGGCACCATCGGCATTGTTGAGAGCGCTTCCTCAAATGGCATCGTCCGCTTAGGGGGCACTGTTAGGCGTGATACAAAAAAAAACACTAAACCAATTTTTTAAATTAATTTTAATTAATCCCAATGCACTAAATTAGACAAAGCAAACGTCTACTGAGATTCATTCTATATGTTTTCAAGGCAAGGATGAACCGGGACTCTAGTAAGCTGGAGGGGAGATCACGAAGTCCAAGGTTGGCTTTTTAAAGGAGTGGTGCTTTAATTTGCCTTTTCGCCAAGCCACAGACAATATGATTACCCTTTGTGTATCAGGACAGGTATCATATCACTGGGTTGATGTGGTGGAACAGTGGCTAGTGCAGTGTGCTGCGTTCCCGGCCACCTGAGATGAACTTTGAGCCAAGGATAACAGCGGTGGCGAGTGACATCTTTACCAGTCCTGCCCCATCCCGCCCCCCTCACTATTGTGGTCAAGTATGGTCAACCAACCCCTTTGACTGACACAGCATGGGGAAATTGTCATTCTCGCAGTGGACCGACAGAAGACAATACATTACTCCGATTCATTCCTTTTGTTGTCCTTCCCCGCACCTCCAATTAGCACGGTTGGCTACGTACTGTGCGAAAGAAGTTCAACAAACATTGATGCATATTCAAAATTGCTGGCGTATGATTTTAAATTGTATGAGTTAGCTCTTTCGGTAAAGTCACGTTGAAGGGAAACAATAAAATAATAAAATATATATAAAACAATAAAAATTCTCACGACGTTTCGACCATAACACAAACGGCCATCATTAGGTGTGTCGGTTTGCAAACCTTTTCAAAGACAGAGGTTATTTGTAAGCCATCTGGCTACCATGAGAGATTCGTTCATGAGGCTATCCACATATACAAGCACAGAAACAATGTCAACCGAGAAGATGGATTCTGGCTTAGCAATCATTGGAAAGATTTGATAAACCATTTCAGGTCTTATTTGATTGTTCACGCTTACAGTGGCTTTCAGACAGCTAACATTAATGTTTCGTCTCCCCCCTCCTCTTTTCAGAACATAGATGGACTCGTCCTTCTAAATAAACTGTCAAATCGCTGCGCGCGGCGTTGACGTTTTTTTTTAATAAAGAAATAAAACGTTTAAAAATAAATAAATTAATGCAAACCGACACACCTGATTACGGCCGTTTGTGTTATGGTCGAAACGTCGTGAGAATTTTTAATTGTTTTATATATTTTATTATTTTATTGTTTCCCTTCAACGTGACTTTACCGAAAGAGCTAAGAATATGAATTGCTGCAGTCACGAAAGCTTTAAATCAAAATGTATGATTTAGATTACAAAATTACCAAATATATATTGCCTATTAGCAACTGCACAGGCTCTTCAACATTTATGCCACCTCTGACAGGATATGCAGTGGTCACACCAGAGAGAGAGAGATGAGCGGGCGTCTGTAGGAATATAACCATCAATAGTTTAAATAGTACTGTGGTTCTTTAATAATCTTCACTAATCACTTAATTTCCCAGGTGCATAAAGGATGAAAAGATAACTTGAATCTGAACATATTAGCATCGGACTTAGGGAAATCGTCACGGGCAAAGTAATCATTATGAGCAACCGCGGCAATTTTTGTAGAGCAAATGACAGTGATGGAATTAAAATGAAAGTGTTTGGTGAAATATGATTGGTCAACAGAGCACACAACCTCGGGTAGCCGTGCGACCTCTGCTTACGATCTGATTGGAAGTTGCTGTTGCATTTGCCCACTAGGTCGAGCCAATATCACATTGTCAGCTCGACCAGATTTGTCCATGATAGAAAACGGCACGCCAATCACAGGGCGCTGCGGTGGTGAGATGTTCACTACCTCGCCTGGTATACAGGAGGCGTGGGTTCGAGCCCGACCCTCAAGCCTGTATATTTGAGTTTGCATGTTCTCCCCGTGGTCGCGTGGGTTTTTCTCTGGGTCCTCCGGTTGTCCCCTCCACATTTAGAAGCATGCATTAAGAGTATTTGGCAGCTATACATTTCCACATGATAAGCCACTTCGTTGAGCTGTCATTTGTGGCCAGGTCGCTTCTGAAAAAAAGCTATACAGCTCAGTGGGCCTTACCTGGTAAATTAAAAATAGCTTATAGTTTAATAGTTTTAATTTACGTTATATTCAGTGGCAGGACCCTTCTATCACTATTGCCCGTGAAGCTTCGCGACCTTTCCACCGTGGCAACAGCGTCACGCAGAGCGCTCGAGCGTACTCACGCGTAGTACGTCTCCCACACGCTGGCGTTGACCACCGTGGTGTCGTCGCACGTCAGCTTGCTGTCGGGGACGTATCCCAGGTCGGTGAACATGTTGAACGCGGCCATGGCGATCACGGCCACCCCCTCCATGGCACGGTGCGGAAGGTTGCTCTGCCAGCCGTCGTACGTGATGGTGAGCAGGCCCACGGGGAACTGCGTCGGCACCTCGCTGGAGCCGCTGGGACGCAGGCCCGGCACGATCCACACGTAGCCAAAGCCCGTGAGGCCCACGTTCTCGGCAAGGCCGAACAGGTGCACGGCCTCCGCCTTGCTGCAGTAGAGCACGATGACCTGCGTCTGTACCTTGCGCAGCAGCGCCTTGGTCTTGATGTCGCTGTCGTCCTCGGACATGTCCAGCGTGAGGATGGACTCGAGCTCCCAGCCCACGAAGCTGTTCTCCACCGTGACGTGCAGGTGGTGGATGAAGTCCTGGTAGCCCGCGTAGTGCGTCGTGATGATAGAGAAGCTGTTCCAGTCGTACTCCTCCATGATGCGCATGATGACGCGCGACTGCTGCTGCACCGTGGCGCCAAACTGCAGGAAGATCGACTCCTCCTCCTGCCAGGCACAGAGGGGTTGGTGAGCCTTATTATTAGATGCTGCTAAAGGTGCAAATCTGCAATTGCTTGCCCGTGTCACTGCTGGTGGAAGGAACTCTGCTACAGGGAGCTCAAGAGGATTTTTTGGCATACTCTTCCATGCTGACCAGATGTCGTGGAAACGTTGGGAGCACCCAGACTTTTCAACGCCACATGTAAACTGCCATTCGACAAACTGCGATGTGCCCATCTATATCGCTCGGTGGACGGAGGCGGTGGAGGATTTAAGAGACTTTCCCCAGCGATTCAGCTGCCACACCAGGAGCTCCAATGGAACTGGTGAGCTCTGGATTGCAAGTCCAGCGTGCTGACCATTACACCCACTGCCGCAACATCCTTTGCTTGTTATGGCTCTAGGAATATAATTTACAAAGGGAGGCAGTGGAAAAGCACCCAGAGGGTGGTGAACCACAGCCAAGGAGAAGACCTGAAGCCAGATCATGTGAAACTATGAGCAGAATCTTGGGAGTCGAAGATCAACTTTGCAACAACTGCAAGATCTATCAGAAAGAAGTGATTGCAAGACAAAGTAGCATCAATTGCATTATCCATGATGCCCTCTTTATGATTGTTATTTACATTTTTGGAGAACTGTAGCAAAGCGCCTCATTCTTATGTTGGAAGCTGTGGCTTCCAATCCTGACCAGAAGTCAACTCAGCTCGTCATCAGCATCTCTGCAGAGTTGATTTAAAAAATGTAGTGTCATTGTGTAAAAAGTCAATGATGGTTGCCATGTGGCTACACTGGTCCGCATCATAATATTGTGGAATTACTGCTACTAGCTGAGGAACCCCAACTGAGATGATAATCATTTGTATAAGCTCGAGCATTATTCAGACTTTTTTTTTTATAACAGCACAAAATCAATACTCTGGTCTGCCGCCAACAAAAATAACTTTCGGGTGATTTAAAAGGATTACAAACTTTGTTTTGGATCACGAATATCAGTCAGATCAACATGCCTTAACTGTGATGTGGCCGTCACACGAAATAAAATATTACTAAAGTACTGTTTCCTATAGCATATTAAACATGCTCGCTTGCAATAGGTGATATGGCATTATATATATTTTTTGCTGACAATACACCTCAGGTTCTGCACTCCTAATCGATAATAATAGCAATGCTGCTTATCACCCTGAAAGCCTAATGCCTCTGGGGGGCCCTCACCTTACGACCAAGGCCCCCCCATTGGGGCTGGATTTGACAGGAGCTTTATGCCAGCCCTGCCTCTCACTGCAGCGGGCGTCTCGTCGAGGTGGGGTGGGGGGAGGCCGAGTGGTGTGTACGAGGGCTCTGGGAAGAAAATAGGAAAAAAACTCCACCAATGCCCCTTCGCGAAATTGGAAGTTTAAATTAAATGTCCGTGCACCGGCACCAACGGCGCTGTAGCAATGCGAGTCTGGGATATTTAATGAGTTCCATTCTGCTCTGTCGGAGCGACACTCGGAGCTGGATCCTGCCGTGGCGATGTGCTCCTTGGTAATACGCTGCCCACGCTTGGAAGGGTGGAAGCGAAGGCTGACCGCACAGGAATGCACGATGGGATAAGAGCAGCAATCAAGCGGATGCGATGACTGAAATAAGTTTGAATACGCATTGTTATTTTTAATACTATTTAGAATGTGAAGGTGACCAACCCGCTCACGTCCCATTGACGGACGTGAGCCAATGTTGGAATTTCCACGTGGCCGTGACGGGGGGACTACATTCGTTAACGTCTCACAGAGTAGAAGAGATATCATCGACTCTGGAGGGATAATGACCTTTAGTCAACCCCCAGCCGGGATGTGAACTCACGTCCTGCCGAATGGCAGTCGAGCACAGTAGGTCGTGCAATATGAATGGTGACGCTGCTACAGCTGCCACGTACTCTCAGTCCATCGATCCCATCAGCACCATCACCACCACCACTGTCGTTGTCCCCACCATGCAAGCTGTATTCATTTAATCGCTTAAACAACACGGCAATGTTTGAAAAACTAATGGTTTATGTTTGAGAGTGTAAATTATGAAATTTGTACTATTCTGCATAAAACTGCTGTATTGCGTAGAGCAGGGTAAGGTGCGGCGTTGAGGTCAAATCGTGCACTTTACCCACAAGAGTGGTTGTGTGACTGCTTGAGTAGTGGCACAGGTCGGTGCACTGCGCGACAAACCCGCTGACCTGAGTTTGAGCCCCAGCCACGGCTAACATCAGTCGTGATATTTGGACCAGCTTTGCCCCCCCCCCCCCCCACCACTCGCTAACCCACTCAGACTGACCAGTATGGTGAAGTATGGTCAAACAACCTCAATGATAAACATGGCAGTGGATTGACAAGTTATATGTGAGAATACATGGCCTATGGCATGTACAATAGCAATCAAATTCGCTCTCTTGAAACTGACTTTTTAAAAAGTTATACCTCCCTCTTTTCATGAAACCCCCACGAGAGAAACAAACTAAACTGTGTTGACTAAAAACTAACAGAATAACTGTGCTCATTACGGTATTTATCTTTTCTGTAATGCCCATTTATGAAGGCCCTAAATAGCGTTGCTTGTTGTTACTTCAACGCCAAATTAACGATTATAAGCATAAAATAAATGTGAATAAAGACTCATTCTGACGGGCTTACTGCAATGACCGTGGTGGTGTGTTCGTTCTCGTCAAACATCGGAAGCGATAAATAAAAAAAGGGTCAAATTAATCCGACACGAGCACACGACGTGGGACGAGCCTCAATCCGCAAGAGGATGGACAAGAGGGGTCTTGGCGTTTAAACAAATACTCGAGACGTGCCGCGAGTATCCAGGTGTGCGCGCACGAGGGCGTGGCCGAGAGCGCTAATAATAAGAAGAATTGTTGTTGTTGAAGCCGTCCGTTATGCGGCAACACGCGAGCGGAGACCTCCCCCCAAGGTGCCTCTTGCGCCGCGCGACCTGCACCACTTTGTGGAAGTCGCTCGCGCCCTACACCCTAGGGCTAAACGATTAATCGATTTAAAATCGAAATCGCAAATTTGAAAGAATGCGATGAGCAAATCGCAAAGGCTGCGATTTTTTTGCGATTTGAAAAGTCCTATTACCTTGTTATTGGAATTAATATAACTTTATTTATTTAACTTAACAATTGTTCTTGTTCTATTTAATTTTTTTTTATAAATACATGTTGGAAGCAATTAATATATTTTAAGTTCTCATCCTTACATTAGAATATATAGAGCAGTTCATATTTTGATGGTATCACGTGGTAATGCTCCATCACATGTTTTAAATCTATTTCACAGTGAATATTGAACTGAAGCTTGACTTAATTTTTTTTTATCGCAAATCAAATCGCAATATGTCAGAAAAATCGCAATTTTATACTTTCCCAAATCGTTCAGTGCTACGTCGGGAACCAAGGTGGTTGTGGGGGGCGCCCCCCTCGTCGTCTTACAGATGTGAGTGACTGCACCCTTTTGTGCAAGTTGCTCCTCGGCGTTCTCACAGCGCAATATGGGGGGGGGGGGGGGAATGTGTCCCCTGGACGTTGACGACTCCACTGTCGAGTCCGCAGTGAGAAGGAAAGCGATCGACGGTGTGTGTCTCTGCGTCACCGGGGCACGCTGGAGGGACGGCCACCTTAGACCTCTCTCGAGTTTGTGGCCTCAAGGACAACAACGGCCACACATTCAGTCACTTTGGAGCTCGGTGGTCTGGTTAAAGGCGGAGCACTTTCGCGTAGGCAATGCGCATCTCCACGTGCGCAGTTAAACATACGAGGTGGGAGCGCTGTGACTAGCAGAGAGCTGCGATTACGTTTCTGGCGAGTGGGCGTTAAGGCTACCGAGATGTATGGCAGATGGCATCCTACGCACGGGGACAACAGGAAAGCGTTCGAATGCGATGCCGGGAAGTGGGTCAGGCGACTGCGAGTGGCAGACGGAGCATGGCTGGGATCTCGGCAAATGTACAGAGGAGAGTGGAGGCAGTGATTTGGCAAGTCAGTATTGTAGGTGACTGACTTGGCAGCTGTTCTCACACAGCGGCGCGCGATCTGTCGTTAAGTCTCGAGATCGTTCCGGTGCCTCGTCCACTCGAAATTGTTGTCATTTATCAGGGTTGTGAAGGCTCAGGGAGACAATACCTCTCCGGCCATCTTGCTCATGGCGACCGCAGCGCCTCCGTGTGGCCCTTCGCGACCCAGCAGCTCGCGATGCTCTCTGCCACTGGGACGTGGGGGGGTCTCGTGGATTCCACAACGCGCCTGCGGCGTCGTGGAAAAGCTCTCGGGCCGTTTCCAGGCCGCCAGCCCGAAAGAGAGCGGCTTACGTGCGGCGATTTGGTCATTTTAGACCACGAATGCACAACGTGAGAATCTGGCCAACCGAAGGGGCTGCGATGGGAAATAACCCCCCCCCCCAGAAAGCAGAGGGGCACCTAATTCAAAATCTGGCTGGCACAACTTTGAGGAGCCGCCACCAGAAACTCTCCGGAGTACTTCGCGCCAGTCTGGGCATCAAGCAAGCAACCCTAAGAAATTGGGCGTCCAGATCGACAGCGTCCTCCGAGCAACAGCGGGTACACTTAAATGCACTCCCACTGAGTGGCTGCCCGTTCTGTGGCCAACATTATGGCAGCAAACCTTCTGGCGTGATGCACCAGCGTCAAGCCAACTGGGAAAAATCCGAGGAAGCATAGGCCCTCCAGTGAGGCCAAGACCAGCTGCTCGACCCTCCACGAATTCGTCTGAGATCCCGGAAACCAATCTGGGACCGCCACGCGAGACAATTGCATGAACCGGGGATCAACTGGGGAGCGCCGGGGAGTTGTGCCGAGGTCTCTGACCGCAGCCTCATAGAGGGTTCCACCGCTGCTGCTCCGCTTCGTTCTGTCAAGTTCACTCTGGCGGTGGTGGTGGTGCCGGTGGCTCCACCGACCGCTTCAGAAGAGCGACCGCTCGCTCGCTGGCCCGCCACCGATGCTGCTGGGCTCGCCTCTCCCACAAGTGGGGCACTGAAGTTGGTGTACGGTGCAGGGCCTGCAGCCGCCCCGGCCACACGACGGAGGACGTCGCCAACAAGTGCGCCTCCCGGGGGGACTGGACGGCGTTAGTCACGCTACTCCCCAAGCTATCATCACGCGGGTCACACACTGAAGTCACACACTGAAGTCTGCACGTACAGCTTACGCCTACTTGCCATGCGCTAGAAGAAGTGATACAAAGACACAGCTGGACACCGGTTTGTGCTAATTAGGACTCATCAGTAAATGTCCCTGCCATATGCCTCTGTGTGCCTAATATATGGAGAGGGCTTACCTTTACACTATGGGAACTCACCCATGTAAAGGCAGGGTTACTTTACATGAGTGTTTGTCAGCTCAGTGAGTGCTGATACAGAGTCATGGCAGATATCCTGTAAAGTGAGCATACGTTTATGAAGATACCAAGTCATCTCAGTTTTAAGGGAGAACTGATTGTGTATTAGCGCTGTAGACCTGAGGTGAGCAGTAGTTCATTAGCGAGTACGTCAGATCATCCCAGTGACCGGGCATCCCCTAGATGTACTCGGCCTAAAATAAGTTCCTGGTGTAATACTATATATTTTATTAAACAGCATCGCTATGGACACATGTGGATGGTTGTTGGATCTGGCACACAGTCAACGCTTCGATCTTGTGCCAGACCTAATAGGGTCTCACAAACAATGATTGGCCCAGAAGTCTAAACTGCTCAATGTGTTTCTCTGTCTTTTCCCATGTTTATAAACTACAATAACACGGTGTGCATACACAGTATAGCAGTGTCGTGTTTTATGATCATGCACGCATCTCGTTAGCGACCTGCAGTGGACGTTTTAGCTCCACGGGAGACGAATGACTCGGTTCACTGATGAAGGGGGTCATATCCTGCTCTCGAGTGTTCCGCGTGAGACTGAAGGCTGTAGTCTACACTGAAGACCGTCAGTCCGTCGATTTAATTAAATGAACCTCCAAGCCACAAACATTCGGGGCCCGTTGTTTAAAATGTTTAGAATTTTGTGTCGTTATAAGCATGCCGTCGACGATGTTTATGCTACATTTTATATTTAATTTTACCACGCCACCATGGGTAGAGAGACACGCAAACTCCAAATATACAGCAGACGTCAGGGTCGGGATCGAACCCACGATCTTCTGTATACCAGGCTATCTACCCCTCCACCATTACAATGAATATGAGTAAGTCAGTCCTGATTGCCTGTATGCATAAGAATTTCTAATACAATAATGAACAGTCCATTCTCAATCTGCTACTCAGTGATGGGGCCTGTTTGACCATGCTTCACCATGGGCTGCTGAAGTGGGCGCCCAGGACTGGTTCAGATCTGGTTGGCCACTGATATTAGCCCTGACCAGAAATTGTACTCAGGGCACTGTGTGCCAACCACTGCACCATTGCTTTCCACTATATGCATTAGATATGAACATGTGTGTATGTGATAGTGTGTGTATATTCCATCGGTGCTCGCTAACAGCACTTGCCCCAACAGTATGGTAAGGCTATACGGGGGACCTTTGTCTTTGCATATTACCTGGTGCAGTGAGTAAACATCAACACTAGAGGAGACAAAGGCAGCAGGGCGTGGTGCTGGACACCGACTCCCTCGTTTGCCGTGCTGACCATAATGGGTGCTCGCTAACATTACTTTCCCCAAAGCCGTGTTGAGGTTATAAAATGAATATTTGTCTTTGAATACACATCACACACACACACTATAATTACGCAAAGTCAGTGTCCTCCTGCTCACATAATATATGCATTCGGGTACCTCTCAACTCCACCGGAGGGCCTGAGACCGTGCTATGAGTGACACATTCCCATCGCGGCGGGGCACCCGGTCCTCGGCACGGCACCAGCCAGAATGGTGAAACGCGCTCAAAGCGGCGCTCGTCTCATTCACGCCAGATGAGGTGAGATGGGCCAGGCGGATAGGGGATTTGGACTCGAAGCCCGACACGTCGATCCGATCGCGAATCGAGCGCTGCAATGCACGGCTCCATTTCGCCACGCGTGAGAAGGGCCACTGATGAATGCGGGACAGCGGACGGCGGCAGTCGCACGCTGTGGTTCCGCGCGACAGAAGGTGACCCTGCGCCGAGGGTCAACGTACGGAGGCGCTTCGCATTTATATAATGAGCTGCGGAGTCTGC